GTCCACATTCTTCCTGAAATGTGGCACCCAGAACTGGATACAATACTCCAGTTGAGGCCTAATCAGAGCGGAGTAGAGCAGAATTACTTCTCGTGTCTTGCTTACAACTCTCCTGTTAATACATCCGAGAATGATATTTGCTTTTTTTCCCAACAGCATTACACTGTTGACTCATATTTAGCTTGTGGTCCACTATGACCCCCAGATCCCTTTCCTCAGTACTCCTTCCTAGGCAGTCATGTCCCATTTCGTATATGTGCAACTGATTGTTCCTTCCTAAATGGAGTACTTTGCATTTGTCCATATTGAATTTCATCTTATTTACTTCAGACCATTTCTCCAGTTTGTCCAGATCATTTTGAATTTTAATCCTATCCTTCAAAGCATTTGCAACCCCTCCCAGCTTGGTATTAATATATATTAATATATATTTTTAAAAAGTTACCATAGGGATAATTACTCCAGCCAGGACAGGTTAGGCATTTTAGAACTCACTACTCAAATAATTAAATTTAAGTGTAAGAGAGAAATAAAAATTATGAAATGCATAGACCAGTCAAAAAGTTAAAATAACACACTTTGAAAGAATAAAATTATAGAAAATATATGTGCATTGCAGGAAGTACGAAGAAGTAACAACAACAATAATACAAGTATGTGTTGGGAGGTAAGTGTGAAACACTCTGTGTGTGTGTGTGTGTGTGTGTGTGTGTGTGTGTGTGTGTGTGTGCACGCTGGCTGCTGGGGAAGTTTCTGATACGCCATGTGCTGTCTCTTTAAGGCACTCACTGAAAGCTCTCCTGCTCCTGAGTACCCTACCTCTGCGGAGATAGGGTCCATGGATGGGGGGGGGGGGAAATAGGCACCAACTTTCCTTGGCGCTGGTGGGTGCTCGCACCCCCCCGCCCCGACTCCACCCTTTCCCTGCCCCGCCCCCCTTCCAACTCCTTCCCCAAAGTCCCCACCCCAACTCTGCCCCCTCCCTGCCCCTATTGGACCCCTTCCCCAAATCCCCGCCCCAGCCCCGCCTCTTCCCCGAGCGCGCCACGTTCCCCCTCCCTCCCAGCCATGTGAAACAGCTGTTTCGTGGCGCAAGCGCTGGGAGCTAGGGGGGAAAAGCAGGCATGCGGCGCACTCAGAGGAGGAGGCAGAGCGGAGGTGGAGGTGAGCTGGGCGGGAGGGTGGGAGGGCAGGCGGGGAGCTGCCGGTGGGTGCTGAGCACCCACCAATTTTTCCCCGTGGGTGCTCCAGCCCCGGAGCACCCATGGAATCGGCGCCTATGGTGGGAGGCGGGGGGGAGAGACAGAATGTGTGTGTGTGTGAGAGAGAGAGAGATTGTGTGAGCTGGCTGCTGGGGAAGTCTCTGAGAGACTGTGCACTGTCTCTTTAAGGCACTCACTCACCACCCGGACCGCAGCAGCTCTCTCCTGCTCCGAGTCCTGAGCCCTGTCCCCTCTCCCCTGCTCTGCGGAGATGGGATACAGGGGCGGGGGGGGGGACACCCTGACATTAGCACTCCCCTCACACACACACACCCCATTCTGCACAGCCAGCAGGAGGGTCCTGGGAGCAGCTGGAGGAGCAATGTGGCTGCAAAGTAGCGTCAGGATGGGCACCTGAACACACACTGCCGGATGTGCCCGGCTCTGCTAATCAAGTGCGCGGCACTTGAATCATTCCTGGGTGACCACACAGCTTAGAGGGAACACAGGTCCTGAGTAATTTCTTTGAAGCACACACAGAGCTGGAGAAACCTCCTGTGTCAGTTTTCTTCTGCTGCTGACCCCAGTGCAGCTTACTATATTTAAGATGCTATGGGGCCTTTTCTGCGTACATAAGCCTCATGGGATTTTGGTAATTTTTTTGTAAAGCACTTGGGTTTCCTTAAGGATTAAATGCACAGGGTAACATTTTCAAAAGTGCAAGTGAATGGGCCTAATGCTCTTATGTGCCTAAGTCACTTTTGAAAAGAATCAGGTTCCTAAATCATGTAGGTACTGTTGAAATTTTTACCCATAGAATACATGTAAAATGTCATCCTTTCTTTCCATTTCCATTCTCTTTCTTATGGCTGCACCACAGAGGAGGAAGATGTTGAGGGAAATAAAAGTAAGGAGGCATTAGGTATGGGGTAGGTAGAAGAAAACTAGGGAGCGATCGATAGGGTAGGGAACTAGAGAACAATAGAACGGTGAGAGAGAGCAATATAGGTAAAGAGGGGGTTGAATAGTTAATGACCTATCACCCAGACTAGCTTCTTAGTGTGGCTTTCTTATGTTGTCTGGTTAGAGAATGAGGGGTTCATCCCTTCCGCAATGTAGAGAAGAGTAATCTCTTTTTTCGCCTTTCTCTTCCTGTCCCCAGTGGCAATCAGAGATTTTAAGAAGCCTGTTTTCTGTTCAGGGCAGACATGCCTAATCCTGACAGGCGCCTGGAACTCATGCACTAACACTTGCCCTGAGCCCATCGCATCACCCACACTCCTACTGCCTACAGTTAGCCTCCAGAACTGAGATGCATAGGGATTTTCTATTACCAATCTCCAGTTGCCATTGAAGCTCAGGCTACAGAAATGACTAAGAATTTCTCTAGGAGCACTCTTTTCCATATTTGGTGTCCTCAGGTTTTTAAAATCCTATAACTGCAGAAAGACTTTTCTCCCTCTTTTGATGGTTCTGCTATATATTTTTGTCTTGTTCGGACTCTGAGTTCTAAGAGGGATAGTCCAATACTTAAAGTACTGGTCTCTGCACTGGAATAGCTCTATTTCAAGCAGCTCTGATGTGTCCTTTACAGCAGTATTGCTAGCAGCTTCTGTGGCTTTGGCTTTCATTGGCATCGCCACGCCGACACTGACCAGCATTACCACCACCTTTCTGGGTACTAATATTGAACATGGTACTCTTGGCACCCTATATCATTCAAGTAGCAGCCGGTCAGTGCAGAGGTGCTACCACCAGAAGCACAAGTGGCAGACACTTGATAACTGAGAGATCCCTTGGGTACGTCTATACTTACCCGCTGGTTCGGCGGCCAGCAATCGATCTTCTGGGATCGATTTATCGCGTCTTGTCTAGATGCGATAAATCGATCCCGGAAGTGCTCGCCGTCGATGCCGGTAATCCTGCTCCGCGAGAGGAGTAAGCGGAGTCGACGGGGGAGCCTGCCTGCCGCGTGTGGACCCGCGGTAAGTACCTTTAAGTTCGAACTAAGATACTTCGACTTCAGCTACGTTATTCACGAAGTTGCGTATCTTAGTTCGAACTGGGGGCTTAGTGTGGACCAGCCCCTTGTGTGTGGAGTCAGAAACTACATTTGTGCACTCTCAGCTGCACCCTTCGCCTGGTCATCCTTTCTCATTTTTGCTAGAATCGTTCAGAATTAGTTCACACAGAAATTCTGCTTGATAAGAAATTCCTAGTAAAAAAAACTTGAAGAGAGCTCAGATTGTAAATCCATATCAGTTACTTTAAAATAATTGTAATTCTCTACGAAGGCCAGATATTCAGCACACCACTGAGTTCACATGCAGGGTGCTTGTCACTCAGTGTTCAATACCTCTTGGAAGGTCTGAGACAAGAGCCATTAGCTGCCCTTGCCGGGCATCACCTGCTGCAGGTGGATGAGTTACCACCTATGTTGGGCCCTGGGTGGGGGGCAAATTGGGCAGGGGAAGCTAGAGGAAGCCCCCCTAGTGGATGGGTTTGGGACAGACTCATGGCTGGCAGCACTGAGTTCAATGGGAAGGCCAGATATTCAGAGTTTCAGTTTGTTAAAACTTGGGTACACCACACCCATCAGTGTAGATTATGGATCCCAATTCATACACATGATATGCTGAAATACGCAGCAGTTGATAGACAGCAGCTTAATTTAGGTTCAGTTGTGCTATGTTGAAACAAAGGCCAGTATGATTTTGGAACTGCATATGCAGAGTGTAGTATACGGTGGAAGTGGGAGACAGTGGTCTCTCCTTGATACAGCTCTGGTGAGACCACACAAAGAATGCAGTATTTGGTTCTGGGCACCTCTTGACAAGAACAATTAATGAAGTGCTGGAGAGGCTAATTTCAAAAGGAAAGTTGGAAGAACTTAACATAGTCATTTCATTAGGTCCCATTGCACTTTGTATAAAGTTGAAATTTGTTGTTGCTTTCAAGCCCCTACATCATATGATAGCTGCTGTCTGCCTCGCTGACCTGGTCTCCTATTATAGTCCCCCATCAACTTCTTCACTCCACCCCTGCTACCAGCTTGAATACCCTGCTTGACTCCTCTTCTAAAATTCTCTGTAAGAATGCCCTCTGGATGTCTTCCCTACTGAAAATTCCTTCCCTTCAGTCATATCCCTCCTGAAAACTCACTTCTGTCATTTCACCTACAAGGTTTAAAAAAAAAAAAGTGACATGATTTATTCAGCTGACTTTTTATTTGACACCCTTGGCTTCTTCTTTTCCTCTCCCTTCATCTGTTTAAATGATTAGGCAAAGAGCAGAACAATTGTCATTGCATACTCTTTGGGACAGGATATATGGGACAGATTTGCAGAGATGCTAATTCCTATCAGTCTTTGTAAATCTCCTCCGTGTCTTTGTGCTTTATGATGTTTTTTTGTGAGGCACCTAGCACATTTTGTAGCACTTAAAACTGATGATATCTAGGCTGGCTAAATGTCACCAGAAAGGAATATAACCAGGTACAAGTATTGGAAGAGGGTAATCATCAGAGAAGGAGAAAAGTTGCTTAGAACAATCAGAGAGTACAAAGAAGAGGAACATTGTGGTGAACAATTTCTAAACAACCTGTTTGACTGTGTAACTGTGTCTCAGCAGACGTACTGGTAGCTTCCCCACATGAACTAGACCAGATGATTCACGTGAGAAAATGCATTAGGGAACAATCCTATATTGAATAGGGATAGGACCAGGTGACTTTATAGGATCAGCTTTTACGATGTCTTTTTTGGTCTACTTAGCAGCGTGGTTGTTTTCCTTTTCCAGGTATCATACAGGCTTTTTGAAGACATGGGGCTGTTTGAAGCCTTTAAAATTCCTGAGAGGGAGTTCATGAATTACTTTCATGCCTTGGAGTGTGGATACCGAGAGATACCTTGTAAGTAAAACTCCAGGTTAAATAAGAGTCTCTTGCTCAGATGTCTTTGACTTTTGACATGTTCAGTAATTATTTTTATACATTCTTTACTCTCCCTAATCACCACAGCCATTTCTTCTTTCAAGAGCTGCATTTTGTCTCCTACCTCTTGACTAAATGCATAAGAGTAGTCGTCCTCTTTTGGTGTACAGGATGTGATGTACGCAAAGCTTTGTGCATTGTTAAGAGTATCCCACAATTTTGTCAATACACGCAACACTGCTAAGCTAATTGCCTCTTATGCAGAGGCTCTTCCTTAATTCTGCCCTCACGTTTCTGTCTGTTTGGCTTTTATGGGTTTTTTTTAGTATTATTATTTTACTTCATAGAAAACTCTGTGTAAATCTCGGGTAGTAAGATGGCTCCCATTTTGAAAGTTTATAGGTATCAGGGGACTGTTCTATCTAGCCATGCTTGTTATTGGTTGGTGGTATTGTCAGTCTTATCTGGAGATTGTTGGAATGGTTGCCTGCCCCCCACTCCCCCTCAGGAGAGTTGAGTTAGAGATGTGCACACTGTGATATGCTTCCACACAAAAGATGCTATAGAACAGTGATTTTAAACCTGTGGTCCCGGACTCCTGGCATAACTTTCAGCAGACATCCCAGCTCTTCTATGCTAGCTAGCTATGGATTCAGAAGCAAGTATACACCCATATATAGCTATATGATTTACTGTAGAGATACATATTATATAGAAAATGGATGTTATTGAGGTACATTTACTGGATATATCTGTATAGAAATATATAATCTATATTTTTCAGGTTCCTAGGACTCTGTCCCAGAATTTTATTATCTTTGCCAAAGAAATACAACATTTAAGTTCCCCCATTTTTGAAGGGCCTTTTATCTACGTGTTGCATTGTTGGAGATTGATACCAAAGCTGAATAAAATCTATATAAGGGCTTGTGTTTGTTGTGGTGTTAGCTCAAGATGTAACTCTAGTGTTGTCCTTAGTCTGATTCCCATCCCCACACACAAATCTCTAGCTCAACTTAAGTGGTTCTTTGCTTTAAACTTGAGCTAGCTGGCCTCTCAGGGGTGTATGGATTGAAGCTCAAGGGCTGCTGATGCTCAAGCTAGTGATGCAGCCGAGATGCAGCTACAGGCAACAACTTGAGTTAGCACAGCTGGTCAGATGCTAATCCAATCACCGCGTAGCCGGAGTGTTGTTTCAAGATGTGGCTGCTCTCACTCAAGCTAGGCTAGTGGAATAACTCAAGCTAATCGTTGCAGTGAAGACAAGCTCTTATGGTTAGAAACTCGGAGAAATCCTGGCCACCGTGACGTGAATGGGAGTCTTTCCATTGATTTTAGAGGAACCAGTATTTTACCCTTTGTATTGACCAGATGATACTTGCATAACAAAAGGCCGGGGAAGTAGAAAGGAGCAGGGCTCTCATTCCTATGCCAAAAGCTCCCTCTCTTCTCTCTTGCCTGGGGGAGTAGTTCTCCCCATGGCTTCCCCTCTTCCTGCATGGTGTATAAAAGCTCCCCCTCCAGTAGCAACCTAGTAGTAAAAGGAAAGCTGAAAACTTACAGAATTGTAAAATAAGCGGGGGTCCTCAGATCTTGTAATGTCTGTTGGTTTTTTGCTGTTCCTTGAACTGAAACTCCCTAGAAGTTCCCCGTTGTATCCAGTAGATGGTGCTGTGTGCCCTCTGATAGAAAGAATCTGCATGTTTAATAACAGTGTCATCGATTGCCTTGATTTGTATCATAGATCACAACAGAATTCATGCGACTGATGTTCTACATGCTGTTTGGTACCTTACTACTCAGCCTATCCCAGGACTCTCAACTGTGATTAACGACCATGGGTCAGCAAGTGATTCAGGTATTCTTTTTAATATACTGTTCTTTTAAGACATGGGTTGTGGAATACTGAACGTTTCATTTGCTTTGCAAGACTTTCAAACAATTTCAGCAATATATATTTGATATTTAATGTGTGCTAGAATATTTATTTGTGTGTTGCAACTGTGGTAGACCGATTCTTTCCAGTGGATTTCCATCAACTATACTTAGGGCCCTACCAAATTCATGGCTATGAAAAACGCCTCACAGACCGTGAAATCCGGTCTCCCCTGTGAAATCTGGCTGTTGTAGGAGTGTCACAGTATTGCCACCCTTACTTCTACACTACCTTCAGAGCTGGGCAGACAGAGAGTGGCAGCTACTGGCCAGGTGCCCCACTCTGAAGGCAGAGCCACCACCAACAGCAGCACAGAAGTGAGGGTGGCATGATATGGGGGGGGCGGAGGGGGAGTTGTCACTTGGAGGGGGGAGCAAGGCTGGCCTTATAGGTGGCGACATGGGCAACCACCCAGGGTGCTGTGATCAGAGAAGGCGCCGTGGTGTTTCTCTCTCTCTCTCTCTCTCTCTCTCTCTCTCTCTCTCTCACACACACACACACACACACACACACACACACACACACACACACAC